AAAAAAAAAAAAAAAAAAAAAAAAAAAAAAAAAAAAAAAAAAAAAAAAAAAAAAAAAAAAAAAAAAAAAAAAAAATATATGTAGACATCGTTGACCGATAAATCGAACTTCACAAATCAAGAAATCATCAAAATGATGACGTATCATATGGACGTATTTCTATCAAACGGAACTAAGCGCCAATTTGAGTTCGTTTTGAGGAATTTAGAATCCTGGATAGCGCGTTCTGTCAAACGGACCTAAGCGCCATGGAAAAGCATTGCGAGTATAGGACGGAATAAGCCAGACGCCCGATTCCGCCGCCAATCCAAGCCCCCCTCTACCTTCCTCACCCTTTGGCGCTTAGGTCCGTTTGATAGAAACGCGTCCATATATCAATAAAGATTTCTTCAAATTATCGCATATACCTAATGATATTCTGCAGATTGATTTTAGAAATTTTTTGAAGATACCGACAATTGATATTCTGAAGGTAACTTCAGGAATATTTTAAAGTTACCGTATAGTTTCTGAATTTTTCGCCGAGATTCTCTGCAGTCTCTTTTCTCAGGAAAATAAAACTTACCTACTGATTTAGGACTCTATCACGACGTTATTATTTTAAGGAATTATTGAAAATCTTAAGTTAAAGGTAGCATTATTTCCTTATTTTTGAACATAGTTTCAAATAAAAAAATTGAGACTAGCATAGCAAAGCGGGGTACCGAAACGGTGACTCTCCTTAAGAGAGGCCTCTTTGTAGGACCAACGATAGTGGTAAGTTCAGGTCATGAGTAAGTGCTTGTAGTACATACCTAAATCTGCTGGACCAATAATTCAAGCGGAGTGGAGGCTAGCCTCGGCGAAGCTTCGGGCTTCGGGAGAGAAGAGTGCTCGCGCCGTTCAGGTGATTTTAGTTCATTGAGGTTTTATTAGTTATTTTGGTACCTATACTGCCGTGCTAAAGAAAAACGCCGTATGAACCCAGGCCCGCCACATCCCATCTCGGGCCCTGGTACCAGTTTTAAGGTCCGGGCCCCAAGCACGGAGGGGGGGGGGTGTCCGAGGGGCATCCCCCGGGAAATTTTGGAATTTATACGACTAATCGGACGCATTTTGAAGCTTCCATAAAGAATTTTTCCATCAATTTCTGCGGAATAATTATGTTTTTTTAATCTACTTTCAGCACTAAATACTTGCGAATTGTTGCATTCAAAACATCTGGAAAATTTTTATTTTTATTTCGAGGGGGGGGCATATGATACTATTTTGAGTTCTAAGAGGGTCAGGCCCCCCTGGACTCCTCCTTCGTTTGTCTATGGCAAGGGAGTTGAGCCATGAGCCATTGAAGTCGAGGATGCCCAGACTTCAGACTCTTAGCATCTGACAACGGAAGAAAATGAAACGCAGTTACCAAAAATATCCCTCTGTACTGAAAATCTTGAAAATAAATAGATATTTTCGAAGAAGTAAGCTTCTTCGAAAATTTAAGAAGAATTCTACAGTTTCTAAAAATCTATTCACCTTTTGCGAAATTTTTAGGGTAAATTTTTCACTTTTTCTTACGAAACAAGGGTTGCATGTGAATTCGTAGTGGTTTTTCACGGGTAACACGGGCCCCCTCTGGGGACCGGGCCCCGGTACCAGGGACCCAGTATCCCCCCTTGTGGCGGGCCTGCCTTCATGCACGCTGGGCTTGTTGAATTCCTTTGACATTTTTGCAGTGGTGCATGCATAGCTGAAGTGCGCTACAGCTAGAATTGTATATAGCAAATGGGTAATTTTTATAGGAGGATTATAAATAAACAAGTGGTTAGAAATGAAAACAAAATACTATGAACTATGCAAAACGATAATCCGGGTATCGGAACTTGGCTGTTTTGAAAACGCCTTCAAATGCGGCGTGATACCTCACGCATTCCGGAGAGTTCAAATAGTTGTATCATTGCGTCGTAAGAATGTGACGGAAGATTTAAAGGCAAATAGCCTCCATGCACGCTGGGCGTGTCGATTTCCTTTGAAATTTTTGCAGTGGTGAATGCATAGCTGAAGTGCGCTTCAGCTAGAATTGTTTTAACAAATGGGTGGTTTTTATACGAGGATTAAAAATAAACGAGTGGTACGGAATATAAGAAATGAATATGAACTATGCAAAACGATAATCCGGGTATCGGAACTTGTCCGTTTTGAAAACGCCTTCAAATGCGGCGTGATACCTCACGCATTCTGGAGAGTTGAAATAGTTGTATCATTGCGCCGTATGAATGTGACGGAAGATTTAAATGGAAATAGCCTTCATGAATGAACCTTCAGGCGTTGCCAAATTTTCTTTGATAAAGCACGAATTCCCTGGCGAACTTATGAATATTTTCCTTCCAATTTTTTAGAGAGATTTGTTCGCATTTTGATCTGAAGTTCCTGAAAATTTCAAGGAAAAATATTCCTAATTCTCCTCAAAAACAAACATTTCATCCAAGGAAATTTGGCAACTCTCGAATGTTCATACGGCGTTCTTCCTTAGCACGGCAGTATACCTAAAGGAAGTTATGTTTCGTCTGGTCCTCACACCTCAGACATGTAAGCATACTATTTTAAATATGCCAAGGAAAATCCCAAGAGTCAGCAATTATGGTTCTTTTAGTTATCCTTTTCGAACACGCAGCATTGCATCGTATGCCGGGCGCGTTACAGTGCATTAATTGCCCCGCTGAATCGTCACTGGATCAGACGCACTCATTCGCCGCTCTCAAAGCAGCTGCCAATTTGTCTCTTCCCCGGTCCGCTCGGTGCAATCTAAATCAAGGTATCTAAAGGTATTGTGTCCCCGGTTCGCTCGGTGTTTGGTGAGATATTCTCGCTCCGCCCGGCGTGTAAGTATCAAGACCCCGGTCAGCTCGGAGATCTAGTCAGGGCCAGATTTGGGTTGGGGGGTGGCCACATGGCGGCAAATTTTGCAATTTTTTTCAATGTAGCTATAAAGAAAAATTGGAATCAGAAAAAAAATTACAAACGAGAAAAGGTGACCAAATCTCTCATTTTCTGAGATTATATCTCTAATTTTGTCGTCTTTCTGTGGTACAATAGACAGCACCTTTGATTAGTCGAGTTAAGACTAAGGGAGAAACCGAACACGGAATTTGGCTTGGAACGGCGCGACGCAGAGAGCAATGATGACGAGAACTTGAGATGAAAAGGAGAAACCCTCGGCGCGGCGGTCAGCATGTAAGACATATTAGCGCCTACAAGACTGCATGAATACTTTACGCATTGCGTCAAAGACAGCGCGGTCCCTGCGTTCAGCAGCGGACGGCGTGAAACGCATAGCGCCTACAAGACTGCATGAATACTTCACGCATTGCGCCAAAGACAGCGCGGTCGGCGCGGCGCACCGGTTCCGGTTCCTGGTGTTGTTGTGTTTTTGAGTTTGAGGTTATAGTTGTATGTTCCTCCCAGTCGGCATTGCATTCGTTGCTCTCCTCGTTCAGATTTTTGTCAATGTAAAAGAACTACATATCTCTTTTTATTTCTCTTTCCGTTCATGATGATCAAATTCGCCAAAAAATGTGTGCCCCCGTTTCATTTTTCCAAGACATCAAAATTATCGACCCCTCATTCTGCTGCAATTTATACCAGTGTAAGCAATTTACGTCTGTTTTCTGTGGCACTCAAAATTAAAAACTTGTATGTATTTTTCACTCTCGAGCATTGCCTTTGAGCCTTTACAGAGAGCTACCAAAGCATAAAGCCTGCTCTGAGGTGTTCAGGAACGAAAAACTCTTCTCCTATGTAGGGCGTGAGCTGACAGGCACCAGAATTTCTCAAGCTGCCTTTCACGCTTTCTCTCATTGGAATGGCGAGTCAGATCAATTTACATTGGAATCAATAACTCTTATGCTCCTTCTCAAATAGTCATACATTTTTACCTTTACCGCAATATTTTCATCGATATACGTTTTATGCTTCAAGAGCAGGGAAGATAGGTGCTCTAGCTCTCGGCTTAGTTTGAGGTATGTTCCATTTTGAAGCAACTGAATCATTTTCCTAACACTTCAAAATAAATTTTGCAATCATACTCTTTAGTCTATGGGAGTGTAATAGTGGGAAAGTTCTAGTCACTTCAAATTGATGTTTGTCTAAGCTTGTTTGAGCTCATTCTTAATATTTTTCAGTTTTTCTTACTTAACAGCTTCCATGATTTTATGTTACAGACATTTGGGAAGCTGGGCAAGTTCAACCCCAGTGACTTTATACCAAAAAATGTCCTTCAACCATTCTACACAGCATGGAAGCAAGCTGGCTTTGGTCGTCCTGCGGAGAAAAGGCCGTTTCCAATTGAACTAAAGGCAGATAAAGTGTACATGTGGTGTGCTTGCGGCTGGAGTAAACATCAGGTTAAACAAATTTCATTATTTAATTTTAATGGTATTAAACTTCCTTTTTGCTGCTTTGGCACTAAATATTTTACAAAGTCATAGTGATTGACAAACAAGCCATTGAATTACAGGTATCAGCTCCTCCTGCAGGACTGCTGGAGGTCCATGTAAACATGCTAAATTGTGTCGGTTACGTAACTGCCCCTCATACTGGTACGCTTTAGAGTTCAAAAATATTTAATTTTGACTCTAATTATAATTTTTGGAACTTCCTGGCTTTGTTTTCCCCGCAAACTGGTGGACCCAGCACCATTTCTATACCTTGTTACATACAGTTCGGGCCACATCTTGGTGTTTTTTTCTCATTTGTACGCACAGTTTGGGGATATGTGTTTTCTCCCGCTCTCGAGCGGGCGGTTGAGTCTAGATACGTTTGCATCTCCAACCAGCCTGATAATCACTTTTTCGAGATTTCCTTGTTTTGTTATGAGAGTTGTTCAGCAGCAACAGTAGATAGCGCAAGGATCGCACTTTAGTGTCATGCCTCGGGTCATATCCATGACGACTTTTTAATGCCGTCTTGGATTTTGCGGCATGTTAAGTTGGGTTCACTACTGAGTGTGATCTGCCGATGAGGTCTAATAGGGCCCAAACCAGTATAAATCTCTCGA